ATAAAGAAGTCTTCTGCAGCTCAGCCGAAGTGAGCTTTCGGTCCCATTGACGCAAAGGGGGAGATTGTTGAGTCAAATTGTGTTGCGTCTTGGGCTTTATGTTTTGTATCCGGATTGGGCATGTCCATCTGTGATTATCTGATAGGGTTATACTATAAATATGCATGCATGTATGCGTTAGAGTTTGTTGATCATTACGTTCATTGTTTTGTAACCCTAAACACCTCTACAGTCGAAGTTCTTAATCGAGCTCTTCTGAGGTGTTGAAGTTTTAATCATTCGACATATTCAAAGCCATTCTTGTGTTCTTGATTACGTTCTTAATTGTTTGCTTGCATAGAATCTAACGATCCTAAAAAAACTTTTTTCTAACAAGCCAGAACCACCCAACTTGCAAGCTTCATCGTGCATCTTGCCACACTTGCCGCAGTGCGATCTTGAAACAAAAACCTTGGGCCTCTTTCCCGAACCCTCTGATCTCTAAACCTGATCCGACTTCCTCTTCTTCTCCATATCTAGGTCAATCTCCCTCTCTCTGTCTCTCTCCACCATATCATCCAGTGTCCCGCAACTAAATATGCTCACAAACTGTCTGATATCGCTCCTCAACCTATCATGATATCTCGTCTTCTTCATATCCTTGTCTGCCACATACTGCAGAACCAGTAAATCCCTCTCGTGAAACATAATGGTCATCTCCGCCACTCTCTCAGTAGTCTGGCGAAGGTCCAGAAAATCCCTCGCCAACTACTGAACCTCAATTACAGGTGTAAACTTATCCCGAAACCTCATCACAAAATCATCCCAAGTCATCGAATCAACCGCCTCGCCTCCCAAGGCGTGACCAACCTCCTCCTACCAGTCACGAGCTCTGTCTTTCAGAAGACAGGATGCAAGCCTAACCTTCAACCCCTCAGGGCAGCAACTAGTACGGAAGGCATTCATGATATCCGCTAACCAATGCCTGCTCGCAATCAGGTCCTTCTTCCTGGAGAATTTCAGAGCCCCACATGCCCGAAACTCTCGGAAAGTCAAAGTGCAAGCTCCACCATCGCCACCATCTCAGAACGAAAAGCACCTAATCGCTCATCCATAACCTCTATGATACCCTCCTTAATTGTACCGAAGATCACATGAGTCTTTTCTAGAATATTGCACGTAATCTCTGATGAAATGAATTCCGACATCTGATCATCTATATGTCTGGCCCCAGAGCCAGAACCCGAACCATCACCGACACCAAAACCAACACCGGCACCCATATCTCCACCAGAACTTCCTAGAGTGACCACCATACTGAAAACAAACCATACAAACCATCAAAATATACTCGAAGAATCCCACATTCTAAAAGCTCCCCAGCACCATCGTGACTTTCCTAGACTCGAGTACGGACCCTGTTCTTCCAGTAGTACAGGCCCAATACTACCTTCCACATCTATCTGTACTTTCCTCAAGGATATCCATGAATCCCCCAAGTTACATCCCTATCAATCTAGACCATCTCTAGCAATCAAAGCTCACTGCGCCGAATCACCTCCTAAGTTTTCCTGGGACTACCATCACACCACCCTCCGCCATCAACTGCAGAAGGAACTCTCTCTAATACCTTCTAACTAGCTTACGAACACAATTACATATCACCAACACCAGATAATTCTTCGACTAAAGGTCTCACACTACAACGGTTGGACTCAAACAAGAGTTGCGCAATAGGGTTAAACCTAACCTTATAAAATATATAATCTCAGTAATATGTAACTTAATGCATTTGCTTACTAGTTAGCTGATATTAATGGGAATTCCCAAAAGAACAAATTAAGCAACATTCGAGCATTGAGTAATCTGAATCAAAGTATAACCTAAACAGGCCATCCTATCATCCGACTCATCCAATACTAGCATGCTAGTCTACAAGCACATACAATTGGCATATAAAAGCATCTCTCCTAGCATTGTATCATGCAATCCTGAGAAGATCCTTAGCCCTAATCTAGCATGCGATTCACAAATTCACATTTCAAAGCATATCACATAGAATATGTATAGGTATTTTGGGAAAACTTACTTGAGCTCGGTCGATTGCATGCACCACACCCCTTTCTTTTATTAGAAAATCCTTTAATAAAAACATTTCTTTTTATGAAAAATCCACCAAACCCTCGGTTTGAGTTCAGACACACCTACGAGTATGCCTGAATCCCTCAAACCAAGGCTCTGATACCAACTTGTAACATCCTAAAGATTATAACCAAAATTTTCATTTTTATATTTATAAAACCATCAAATTCATGTTTCTAAAAGTCATAAAGGAAATCAAATTATGTCAACAATCATCCAAAAATACATCAGAGTCAAATAATATAGAAAATCATAGTGTGTGCAATGCGATCACCTCGAGCCCTTCCCCTTCGAATCGGAAGTACCTAAAACATAAAGTAAAAACCGTAAGCACAAAGCTTAGCGTGTTTCCAAAAATACCTCATACCATACATATAATAGGCCTTTCCCACCGTCCATCAGGCCCCGCCCGACACACTCATCATGCCCTGCCTGGCATCGGGCCCCGCGCGGTATACATACAAACACATATGCAACACATGCAAGAGTCACACAAACAACTAGCATACTAATAACAATAATCCATGCTCCGACATTGGTGCCTTCGACCAGCCAAACACTGTGATGAGACTCGCCTCGATCTATTGATAGAAAAATAACAATCGGGCTGCTGAACCGAAGAATCCCTGCACTAAAACACAAATAAAAAAACCCAAATTAACAATTAGGTCATAAACCATAACCGGGAATCTAATTCATGAAACCCGACTCTTAGGGGGAAAGGGCTATTTTACCCTTTTCTTTAATCGGCCCAAAACCATAGCCCAAGCCCAAGAGTACCCGAAGCCCGCAAAGGCCTAAAACACTAAAGCCCACCGTTGGGAGTACGTTGAGCATACCCAACTTGTAAGCCCTACATACACGCACCAATCGAAAGACGGGGTTCGAACCTAGTACGCGCAACGTACATTCAAGTACGCCCGACGTACTGGTCTAGGAACCAACCCCATATTAATGGCTTAATCCATTTTGACTCTTTCATACAAACTTCATATCTACTCCAAAACAAGGTCTTAATCCATAAAGTCACAAGCTTTAAGCTTGTGCATGGCTTAATAAGCCCTAAAGCCCAATTCTCACACCCTAACTTCAAGAAATGAACACCAACCTTTTCATAGTTGAGTTAAAACCTTAAAGCTACCATTTTTATGCACAAGGGACCTCAAAAAAACTAAGATCTATCATCCTATTCTCATGGAGTAGCTTATGCTCACAAGCAACCACTCAAGGGACCAAAATACACCAAGATTTCTAAACTAGTTAGATCTAGAAGAAGAGTCATCAAGGTTGTAACTTTATACCTTCTGAGGCTTGCCAAGTTGATGAAGATTATGGATCTTTAAGCTCCACTCGAATCTATGCTTGATCACCAAGCTCCTACTTCTTCACAATACACCAAAAGTTCACTTTCAAGGCTCAAAACACAAAAGGAAAGGCTAGGGTTTTCGTGGGGAGTATTTAGATGAAATGGGGATGATGAGGAGGTAGCCTCAAGCCTCATAACGATGTTTAAATAGGGGCCAAAACCTAAAAATTAGGGTTTGTGGTCTGTGTACGTATGCTCGCGCGTACGCATGGGTACGATCAACGTACGCCTTCAACACTCACGATTCATTTAAGGGAGTATGCCCAGCGTACTCCATGTTACGCCCAGCATAACATGGACCAAAATGAAATCTTTTTAATACTAAGTCCAATATTCAAAGGTACCTGAAATTCGAACATTGCAAACATTGGTCAGGCCAACGCGTGTAATAATGAAATATGGTGCAGCACGACCTCCGGGCAAACATCTGGCTTCAGGGGTTTCTTCCTTGACTGTCCTTTCACATTCTACCATCTTTCCTTCATTACCTTTTCTCACCAAATTCAAAAGTAAAAATTACAACTCAATCTAAGAACATTGACACAACACAACCTAGATATTCGTCCTTGAATTTTTATTTTTCGGTCTTCTGTCTTTTGTCAACTCAACTTGTTTTTTTTTTATATATTTTGAGAACGTGCTTGAGCTTAAATTTTCACTTGATCTCTTATTCTTTTTTTTATGCTTCTTTTCTTTATTTATCTTGTTTTTGCTGCTTTGCCTGGATATCTTCTTTTGTTGTTTCTTTTTGTGACTTCGCTTTTCCAACTTTTCTACATTTTTGTTTTGTTTTATTCTTTGAAGGATAAGGATTTTCCCCATATGTAGAGGCTAAAATGACCACATAATGCTCATTGACAATGTGTCAAGATCTACTAAAAAGGGTCGGGAATGACTCAAAAAATGGGTGTTACCAAAAAATTATGGTCCAAGAAATGTGATTTGGGGTACCCGACTCAAAGTTCATCAATATATATATATATATATATATATATATATATATATATAT